ATCATTTGGATTATAGTATTTTTTCACCTGGTCGGGACTTGCTTTACAGATTTCCCTCTCTCGTTCTTAAGATATAATACTACTCCTTGATTTCCTGAATTACATAGGGACCTTCAAATTTTGGAGCTAGCTTTGCCGTAAAATTGTCTGGGGCAATAATATAATTGATAAAGAAAATTTCCGCTTCAATACTTTATCCCCAACTTTAAAATCTGCTTCACGGCGTTTTCTATCATAATATACTTTCTGCCTATTTCTTGCCGTATCCGAGCTTTTAAGCGCCTGATCAATCAGCTTTTGCACATCTTTTTGTTTAAACCCCTGCTCTCTTTGTTGCACAAAGAATAATTTATCTAAAGGCGTAATTAACTTTCTGCCTAAAAATAATTCTGCTGGGGTTTTTCCCATAGTGTCGTGATTTGCCGTTCTTAAAGCATAAGCTAATTCATTTATGTAGCCATCCCAGCGCTTGTGATGTGTGCTCACGTAACTGCGAATTATTTTTACTATGTTTTTATTCACTCTTTCTGCTATGTTTGCCTGTGGTCTATACGGAACCATTTTGATATGGCGTATGCCAAGTCCATTGCATATGTTTTCAAATATTTTACTAATGAATTGTTTTCCGTTATTGCTAATGACTTTTATCGGTGCACCGTATTTTAAAATGTATCTGTGTAAGAATGCATCTGCGACTGTTTTGGCTGACGCGCGTTTAAGTGGAACAATTTCTGTCCATTTTGAAAAATGATCTACTACTAAAAGAAAACGATTTCTATTTAACTCGCTCTGGGGGAAGGGACCAAGAAGATCTATGCCTAAAATTTCATTCGGAAATGTAGCGCGAATGCTATTTAAGTACCCGGCCGGGCTGTAATTAATATCATTTATTAACTGACATTGATTGCAGGACCTGACATACGCCGTTACTATTTTGTATAATTGCGGGAAATATACCGCCTCGCGTACCCTTTTTAAAGTCTTTCTGACCCCTAAATGGTCCGCTGTTTTCGCGTCGTGTAATTCCTTCAAAATGCTTAATCGAAGCGAGGCTGGGATGACTGGTTTGTACTCAAGATTTTCGTTTGTTATTTTCGTATAAAATAATAAATTATCTATTATTTCATAGTTTTCTGCTCTATTTCTTATCGCATCGATATCTGTGTGCTCAAAGCTTTCGGGGTCTTTCAAATATGCATAGATATTTCCAAATTCAGGATCAGCTTTCAGTTCAGTAATAATCGTATCTCTAGAATCTAAAAATTTTGAAGTCAACACAGCGCATTTAAGTTCATTTCCTTCATCGTCCAGTTTTATACGAGAAAGTGCGTCAGCTACATTGTTTTCCTTACCCGGTTTATATTTAATGTGATATTATATTCTTGGAGTTTTAAAGCCCATCTTTTTAACCTGGGCGTTAGGTTTTTCCCCGAGTAAAGTCTACCAAACAGCCGCATGATCCGAAAAGACTGTTACTGGCGCTTTGCCGAAATAAACTCGAAATTTGTGTACAGCCATTAATACGGCTAATGTTTCTCTCTTCTGTAGCTGTATAATTCCTTTGTGTCTGAATTAAAACGTTTTACTAAAAAATGCCAAGAGGATGGTTATTTTGCATGAGAACCGCACCTACCGCATAGTCTCGACGCATCTGCTGCAATTTCCAGGTTTTCAGTCCCCTTCCGGGAATTTCAAAACAGGGGCATTAATGAGTGCTTCTTTTAATTTTTCAAATGCTGTGTTTGCTTCCGCTGTCCACGTAAATTTACCCCTTTTTCTTTTGATTACAAAGAGTGGTTCAACAATATTAGCGAAAATCTTTTATGAACGATCGATAGTAAGAACATAACCCAAGGAAAGAAGAAAGTTTCTTGGCGGTGTTGGGCGGTGGGGAAATCTCTTGATAGCTTTATTTTTGGATTTCTTGAATCCTGAGTTTCTATACCCTTTCGCGAAATTTTATAACCGAGATATTTAAGTTCTTTAGTTGCGAACTTGCATTTTGAGGCGTTAATTGTAAGACCGACCTCTTTTAATAATTTAAAAACTTGTTCTAGATCATTAGTGTGTTGTTCCAACGTACTACTCGTTATAATTATATCATCTAGATAAGATTAAAGTTGATTTTCCTAGGACAGGCTTTAGAACAATGTCCATAGCTCTCTGGAATGTTGTTGACGGGGCCCCACACAACCCAAAGAAAAGGGCATGCGTAAAAATGCATAAGTGCCCGATTTTGTTATAAACGCGGTTTTATGTATGTCTTCTGGGTCTCATAGCTATTTGATAGTAGCCAGAACGTTAAGTCCAAAGTAGATCATGTATCTTGTCGACTTTGATCTTGTCTAATGATTCTCCGTCTATATCACCGGCAAAGGGTGAAACTGGAAATTTGGTAATACTATTTGAGTTTTCTGTTAATCAATAGCAAACCTCCAAGCCCTTTTATCCGATGGAGGGAAAGTCGTTCTTTTAGATCGTTCTTTTTCCTACATAGTACGACTGGACTCGCCGTACTCACTATTTATGGGCGTTATTATTTTATTCTTTAACATCTCCTGAATATGTTCTTCGATGATTACGTCTTTTGTTTGTCGTACCGATAAGGTTTAGTCCTACAAGCTTTTTCGGCATTTAATTGAATCTTATGCGTGACTATTTGACAATTTCCTGGTTTTCTGAAAACAAATTAGAAAAAAATTACTCGCCACTTGCTGTATTGCTTGCCTTTCATGGTCATTCAGATGGCTAAGGTCCACTTGCGGTGTCTCCACAGGTTCCACCACCCTCTGGTCCATCTCCAACACCACGGAACTGTCTTGAAAATTTAATTTGGCCCTCGCGGCCCTTAAAAACTCCATACCTAAAATAAGAGAATTTTGCAGATTTTTCACTACAAAAATTAATACTTTGAGGCTTTCCTCTTTCATCTGTAAGTTTAATGATAATTTCCCGATGCAGTGACATGTTTTTCCTTGCGCCGCTATAATTTCCGTATTTTTGGTTTTTAAATAATCGTACCCTATAAAAATTCTTTTTGAAGAAATTTTCACTCATAAAATTTCCTTCTGCTCGTGTATCGATGAGGGCTTCTACTTGTACATCGCCAACCAGGACTTGTATAATAGGTAACTGTGAGTTTTTTTACGATGACCGTATTTAAATGTCTATTTGAGGGTTTTTTTAAAACTTCCGAGGTCTGGACCCTCCCTTTCACAGGCCCCTCTACTCGTTTAAAGCTTTCCTTTCAATCTGTGCCTTCTGGGTACGCGGATGTTTATTTTCGAATTTTCTTTTTGGGTCTTGACCTTCGAGTTTCGATGAGTTAGCTTGATAGCTCTTTCCCCCATAAGAGCGATTTCCATTTCTGGTTTCCTCATTTGAAGATTTCCTTCGGGTACTTTGAGAATACGTTGCCTCTCTAGTTTTTTCCGCTATTCTGCGATTTTGAAACTTCACCGCCAATTCGAAGAGCTCCTGCAATGTGCTTGGGTTTCTAATTTCAAAGTAGTCTTGAACAGCGGGTAACAATCTTGGTAAGATTATTTCAATAATCTCCGCATCGGGTTTCTTCCCATAAGCATATCCGTCAGCTTAATAATTTTCGTAGAATAAAGTCCGTCAATTCTGCTATATCCCGTTGATAGAAAAACTATATAGTTCGGCTTCCAGCCGTGCGCGATCTTTCACTATGGGGAAGGCCTTTACTAACGATTTTTTGAAATTTTCAAATGTATATGTCTGGCTTCCAAATTCCCCCTAATAAAAAGTTTGCCTATATTTTCCACCATAGCGCGGCTGTCCTCTTAGTGCGGATGTGGCGATAGCAACTTTTTGTCTTTCAGGAACAGGGTAGAGCTGAAAGTGGTTTTCTAGACCTTCTAGAAATACCGCCACCGAATTTTTTCCGTCGAAATGGACGTTTGGCTTGATTGACGCTCTCAAAGTCTGGACCAGGTATCCAAATCCTTCCAATTGGCTTGTCATTTCTTGTTGTTGTCCAGCGGTTTCCATCCAATTTTCGGCCATTTTAGTTCGATAAGTGTTCGGGCGCCAATCTAGCGTTGCGTCTCCAACTTGCACGCAACCAAGAGGTGACTGTGAAAACTAGATAAAAGACAGAGTCTTGTTAAGGGTTTAAGTCCCTTTTTATTCAACGTAATAAATTACAAGTGCGTGCTCTTGACGCTCACAAACTGCGCCAACTCGGCGGTCAAATAAAAATAATAACATGAAAAGAAACTAAAGACAAGACTCTAACTACGAGACTCTCTAAAAGTAACTAACTCACCGCGTTTTACAATACCGCTGCTAATTCAGCAAACTTGAAGATCACTTGAACGATTAACTACTTCCAGGCAAGCACACAGGCCGAAACGCGGGGTTCTTCAATTCTGGCCAACTACCTCCGCGCTCGTGAAGTAAGAATATCACACACTCGAACTCGTTTCCTTTCTATTTAAATCAGAATACTTCCGCTGATAATTTGAATCCTTGCGCGTTCTACTAAAATTTACATACTCTGGCATTGGCAGTTCCAGGGGAAAGTAAGGCTTGACAGGAAAGATAGTTTAAACTTAAAATAAATGTTAGTTAAAATAAATATAAACCCTACAAACTTTTAATTTGTATTATAATATCTTTTGCATTTTAATATTTAGGATTATAAATGCTATATCATTGTCTAAAATGTTAACTGAAACTATAATTTAGTGAATTTTCCATTTGATCATTTTTAGTTGGATTGTAAAATTTCTTAAATAAAGGCTTGACCACATGTGATTTTATGGTACACAAAATTAACTCATTAATTAATTTTATAGCATGTAATATTAACACTGTACTCTAAAAGATTTCATGTAAGTGGAAGTGAAATACCAATAAAATAATTTTGTTAATTTCTATTTCTCCCATAATGCATTCTAAGTCGCTTTGCTTTCATTATATTGTTAAATATGTTCAAATCTGTGTAAAAATTTATATTATACCTTTCTTTTCAGTATTTAACATATGTAACAAATATTTGTAATGAAAAAATGAAAGAGAACTGGAACAGGACTGAAAGGTCAGTTATACAATTGATTTACAGCACCCATTAAATTAATGTAAAATATATTATAAATAAATCTGGAATTTCATTTTTGTATTTTGTTTCAGGCCTAGTAATTTGCATTAATGAGAATGCTTAAAACATATTTTAATGTATGTTAGAGTCAAAATCCAAATGAGTGAATTTTAAATTAAGTGCAATTATTAATATAAAACAAAATTTAACTTCTGAGTGATGAGATTGGCAAAGAGCAAAAAGCAATAAATATAAAGTTAAAGCTCATGCATAGTAAACAAAGAGAAATGTCTCCAATATAAATACTTGCATGTTATATATATCTATCTAGATAGCAGTGGCTCTGTACATTTTAAACAGCAATATCTTTACCTTGATGAAAGCTGCACAGTATGTCTGCAAAGACTGATTTATTAGCAATTCAAGATTTGAAGATAACTTTAATTATTGTTAAGCATTCTTTTTAATGCTATATATTGATGATCTCAAACTAATGCACTGTGGGCTGCATGAGGCCCAAATACATTTTAATTATGAACTTATTGCAAATATAAAGTGTTATAAAGGTTTTAAGATTTTAACTATTTGAAGTCCAAGTTTACATTATTTTCATCACCACTGAAAACTAACGGGAATAACACATCAGAAAATCTGTAAATGGAGCTAACTAATTTACAGTGTAATATAAATCTTATTCAGATATTTGAAGATAACAGATTTTATTAACTTTAAAAAGATTTTAACTACTTGACAAAAAATAAATAAGTTCTGTTACAAATTATTACAAATTCCCAAACCGCTTGGTTTAGAAATACATTTATATATGAGCAACATTTTTTAACAGTTGAAAATAAATAAGGGGCAAGAAATTGACTAACGAGCATCTATAATTTGTGATGCAGATAAATTCCAGTACTTTCTCTGCAGGGTTACAAACAATCAGAATCAAAATGCCATCAAAGTCAATCTATAGGAAGAAGTAAAGAAGTTTATAATTATGTACATACAAATATATGTATTTTAATTTATGTTTTGGAGAAAAGTTCAATAAATTAAAAAAAAGCCAAGCTGTCATTATTTGTTCTCAAGTATTGTCCTATTTAGAAGATTTCAGATTTTCTCTGAAAAGGTTTCATAATTTCTTTTAGTTTAAAGTTATTTAATGATTAACTAAATATGTTAAGACTATTTAAAATAGACATCACTCCCAAAATTTAATATTTATTTAGTTCCAATATATTTGTATTACAAAGTGCAACCAACAAAAAAATGTCTTCCATTAACCAAATTTTAGATTTCAGTTAAAAAATTTATGAAATAAAGAACAATTATGATCTAAAGGGTATCAAAATTTACAAAAAAAAAAAAAAAAAAGCTTAATATTTATTTGTTTACTTTATTAAACATTTCTTTCAATGTAAGTTGTTTAAGTTGCTTCATTTTATGTAATAATACTTTCTTTTTAATTCTATAAACAGACATAATTTCTTGTTCAGTTACAAAGTTCCGCTGTTCAAGTCCCGTTAATTGCTGTGCCGAGAATACCGACTAACTTGTCAATCGAAATTTTTTCGTTTTCACTAACCTCTCTGTCACATTCTTCATGTCTTTATCCATTTTTTGCAGCAATTCCACTTTTTGTTTGTTGCACATCGAAAACATACTTTCGTTTGTAGATCCTTTGAAAGTTCCAGCATCGGAAATTCTATTTGACATAATCGAAAGTTCAAGTTCAAGTTTACTTTTATAAAAATTGCTCTTACAGTCTGCAAAAAAATAATAAGCGGGATCCAATTCGAAGATTAAGAAACAACGCAATCATTAACATTAAGTGAAACAGATAATTAGATAATTTTAGCTTACACCGTCCGTTATACATTAAACGCGCAGGCGAAAACGCATTCTGCACTTGCGTACACGCATATGCGCAGTAGTCAAGGTCTTACGCGCACGCGTAAAACGCCTGTGCGCATGTGCCAACGCGGCGCATGCACAGAAAGTTTTTAGCTTCGAGGTCCGGATTATAGATCATTCCGGATTATGGGTGTCCGAATTAACGACTTTTGACTGTATAACTGCTTATTAAAAATAAAATAATTCATTTCATTTCATGATAAAGCTTGCTTATCATGAAATGAAATGAATGTCTCTATTGTTGAATGATGACACCTAGAGCCAATTTTGAACATATACAGTGGAACTTCGAGATATGAGTTTAATTCGTTCCAGCATGGAGCTCGTATAGCAAAATTCTCACATCTAGAAACAAACTTCCTCATTGAAAATAATGGAAATCCAGTTAATCCATTCCACAACCCCAAAATATCAACATAAAAATCAATTTTTCTAATAAATAACACTGGTAAATAATATCTCAAGTTTATCTTTATGACAGTGTCAGACAAATGATAGCTTCCGACAGTGACTTTAACTGCTTCTCGTTAATCCACACCAACAATAGCTTCTAGGAGTTTTGGAGGGTGCTTGGAAGTAATGGTAACTCCTTTGCCTACATCAAGTTTCTTAATTTCTTCCTTCTTCAGAATAGTGCAGATTGTTGATGTCGAAAGCCCATAAGTCTTTGCAAATGCCGTCACTCTTACACCACACTTATGTTTATCTATGATTTCTTTCTTAATTTCAATGGCCATGGCTTCCTTATTTTTCTTTGCAGCACTATCTGAGGCAACAATCTTCTTGGAAGGCATCGCGAAATAATTATGTTCACGCTAAATGTAATAAACAATTAACTCACAAGCGCACAAACACTTAGATCAGCGAACACTAAGTGATCTGACGATGGGATTCTCCGAGTCAAGCCGGATCGGGAAATGCGCCACGCATACCAACAGCGTGGCTCGTTGCTCGTCTTTCGAGTCAGTGCTTGAATTTAGAGACAAATTTTTCGCTCATACTTTCCTCGTATCTCGAATTTCTCGTATATAGAGGTGCTCATATCTCAAGGTTGCACTGTATATACAGAGGCTGTTCACACATTTTTTAGACGGTTTTGGTAAGCGGTAATAAAACATCGTTTGCTGCAAAAGAAGTAATTGCAATTGTACTATGTTTTTAAAAGTCAAAATTATCGTATGTGGCTTGAAAGTTTTGTTTTTATTCAAAATGGCGAATTTAACAAAGCAGTGGTTCGAAGGCTACACTTACGCTCTTTCCGAAGAGAAATATGCATACTCCGTTATCCAAAAACGATGTGAGAGTCATGGTTTTGTGATATCTAAAACGTCGATAGGTAATATCATCAAAAAGAAAGGAAAAAAAGTCAAATTGGAGCCTCAAGTAGGACAAAAATTCCAAACAAGTATTCAAGGAAAAAAAAAAACGGACATCTTCGACTAATTGCAAAGGTACCGTTGTTTAATGTTAAAAGAAAATCCCCCTAGTCAAAGGAACAGTTGCAAAATCATTAAAATGCTCGGTGTCCACTGTAAACAAAATGATAAACGTTGATTTAAATCTTAAGAAAGCGAAAAAATGCAATGTGTATTGTCTTCTTCCAAAGCATATCGCTCAACGCAGGACACGCTGCAGAATTCTATCTGAGAAACACTTATCCAAAGAAAATGGAAAACAGTTTTCACAATAGATGAAGCATGGGTGTATTTAAATGATTGTAACAAAAAAAGAGCCATTTATTATCATAAAAGGGGAGAAAAAAATTTTAAGTACATGGTTCAAAGAATCGAAAGAAAGTTTTTCTAAGGGATTTATGATTGTTGCTGGTTTTTCTTATAATGGCAAGTTAAAAATAAAGAGAGTGCAAAAAAATGTCAAGATTAACTCTAAATACTATCAGGAACATATTTTATCGCCAATTTTTCTGAATGAAATACCATCGCTTTACCCACAGTGCCATCAATCTGTGAGACTCCATCAGGACAAAGCTAGCAGTTACACATCAAAATCCACTGTAAATTTCCTAAAAGAAATGGAACAAAAAACTGGTATCCAGGCCATACCCTTCACTGATATCTCTACTAAATCTCCCGATGTCTCACCAATGGATTTTTGTGCTTTCGGACTTTTAAAAACTGCATTATCCAGAGTTGTCCCGAAACCCTAAAATGACTTTGGAAAGCTGTTCGGGAGGAATAGGATAGAATACCTCTTCTGCCTCTTCAAAAGGCATTATTATCCTGGAAATTGCGGTGTCGAAAGATAGTTCAGAATAAGGGATGTCAATTAGAACATTTAAAACACGAGAATTTTATGTAATTTAGTTTTGTGAATACAATATATATCGTCTGACAAATGTGTGAACAGCCTCTGTAGTTCTTCATCTGAACAAATGCACTTTGAATACCAACTTTCGAATTTCAGCAGTTTTTTAGCTTTATTTTTTGCTTTATGTAAACTTAGTAATAAAATTTAGATTAACAAGCCGAATGATTTAAAAGCAATTTGTTGCCTCTTGGCAAAGCATAAGATATTTATGTTTCAAATTTAATCGGAGAATTCTGTGATTTAAAAAGAAAAAAAAATGTGATGTCACTTGCAAAGTGGAAAATGTTTGTTTTTCAAAATTAATAAACAAACTCAATGGTTTTTTTTAAAAAAATATTGCTTTTGTCTTCTAAGCATTAAGGTTGTACCATGCAGGAAAGCATAAGCTATTTAATTTTCCTTTTAAATTTTGATATTGATTATTGATAATATGATATTGATTAACAAACTAAGTGATTTAAAAGAAATAAGTGAAGTTTATTACCTCTGTTATTATTAATTGTTAGCTAGCCCTGTAAAATCATCATACATTTTTCTTTTTTATAATAATTATTTTAGGCAGCTATATATATTTGTAGTAATTTGGATAATCATGCAAAATTTGAAACTTATGCATAGAACATCCATAATGAAGAACAAATTTGATAGCCAAGACAGATTCCACTATTCATTTTTATTTTAATTTCCATTTGTGGTCACAAATATCTTGGCACACTGATTATGCCTGTTTCAGAACACTTAAATCATTTTATATCATTCTGATAAGAAAGCAATACAGCAGCTGTCTAGATAGGCTAAGAAACAGAAATCAAGCACAGTGCCTTATGGTAGTTTCGTTCAAAGGGAGAAAGATTTTAGTTTCAAATTTGGACTTTCAATTTTGAATTAATTGCGTGTCCAGTGTTGTGAAAATGATGGCGAGGAAAAATATCCAAATTCCAGTAAAGAAGCACGGGGATATTGCAAAACAAAATTAGTAATTTGATTGGCATATAGGAAAGTTTTGAAGGTGATTTTTATTATACCTATATTTTTTATTGATTATCCTATAATTTTGCTTTTTCTTAATGTATAGAATTACATTTTCCTTTTTCAGATTGTTTTCAAATTTGCGAGCATCAGTATCTTCTCAAGAAATAAATAAATTAGAAAATGACCATGAAAGTGGATTGCAAAGAAGAAATGTGTGTGAATATACTGACAAATCTGTACAACATTTCAAAGAGTCTGATCATTGTATAGATATGTTTTGTGACGGTTTTGAAAATTTATTAAAATAATATAAAATATGGCTTACATAAGGAATGTAAAAATTTGTTTATTTTGAAGGCCATCATTTATATTTTTGCTTAGTTTGTGTTAATCTTAAAAATATTAATATTTTTATATCTTCAGAAATTAAAAATCCATTTTATGATTAAATTATTTATGAATTCATTTTCTACCTGAAGATATTTGTAAGGTTTATTTAAATTAAAATTTTGTTTTTGTATTAAATCTGTCTGGTACTTCTGTGTCTTCATCAGTATTACCAAAAGTGTAAATTTTGAAGGGGTTTAAAAAGTGAATGAAGGTGTAGATGAGAGAGAATTTGGATACACAGCTTCTAATTCGATTTTGTCCACCTTGTTTGTCACATGATGTTTTTCAGTAAGTGTCTCCTGATTTTCACTAGTATTTTAAAAGCTAAGTTTATAATATTTAATTTACTATTTGTGTTTCTCATATTTAAACTTGTATTTCCAGACCTCTCAAGAAGAGATGATTAAGTTATTTATTATATTTTCAAATGTACCTACAAGCCAGATTACAACTAAAGTGTTAGTTGGTTTCGTATTTGTATTTTTAGAGTGTTAGACTTTAGTGTAAAAACAATAAGTCATCTGTAATATGGGAAAGTTAAATGAGTAGTTAGTTTAAAAGTGTAGATTATAGATTAACCTTATATTTGTGCTCAGTGTAAAAGTAAAGTATATTGGTATACAGCATCAAAACTGGGCCTGTTACAGTAGGCACACAAAGTGAAACTAATGCTGCAAGTAATTTATGTATGTTTATGTTTGGACTGGCTAAACTTTATCCCAGTGACATGGTATTAAAATCATTCGATGAATTTAGTGAACTCGTAGATATCATGCAAGCGGTGATGAACCCATTGGTGAGAATTAATGATAAAAATTCAAAACTGAGTTTTGTGGATGCTTTAGAAGGCCGTTTCTTGTCACACTTATTGTCAGGAAAGCAAAGTTTGAATTTTAGATTCTTCTTAAATTTCTTATTGTTATCACCGAAAATGTAACAATGTCTTGATTTTGTTTACAGCTGTCAAAGTTGTGACTTTTTTGGGGAGACTGAATGCCATCAGCTATTTACTATTGTTCATCATTTTGGTACATTCTTTCATGCTTGTAAACTGTTATTGTTTAAAATGACCTTCTGCAGTCTATTTTCAATTAGCCTACTATCCTTCAAGCTTGAGATTTAGTCTCGTCAAAGAGCTCATTCTTATTCCGTAACATATCCGCAGACAGCATTCTCAGCTGGAGCTTGCTTTAGTGGAATGTTATCTTCCGTTCAATATTAATGTCTTTAACAAAGGTTTTAAGCCAGCCTCTCGTATGGCCAAATACATTGAAACTGCACATGTTGAACATACTATAACTACTGCAAATAGAATTACCAGATTAATCATGATATAAGTACTATGCAGTAAAATGAGATTGATGAAATTGTATCTGAACAAGAGATGCTACACATCTGATGGCACCATTTGCTAGCAGCTTCACAGACCAAAAACAAAACTGTAACACCAGCTCCAACGTTAAACCAAGAGTCATTTCTAATGCTAAGGTTGCCAAGAGTAATTAATTTACTACTTTTACTTATTACAAGAAAAAGTACACCCCATTTATATATACCGATAACATAGTTGAACCATAGAAATTCCCATATCTCCATGTTTTACTTGGGCAGCACATTCAAGGAAACCTCAAAGCAAAGTAAAAATTAATCTCCTCCTCCAAGATGCTAACACCTATTGCATTGTACAAAAATTAATTTTTTAAAAGTATATCCCCTTTAATAAGCTGCCAGAGGACATTTTAAAAAGTGTTATTCATCTGGTAATTAAAGAAAGTGAATTAATTGAAGAGCTCAATGATCATCACAGCTATATAAAGAAGAGAAAGGGAGCCTCTGCCACTTCCTCTACCACTCCACCTCTACCACACATCTATCTATCATGCACTGAAAATAAAAGCATGTTCAACCTAGTCAGACGTAATTACTTCAAAGTAAAATTTCTCCGATGTGAGCCTGGCCCTGTGCAATATTACTGATGTCAGAAATTCTATCACAACTCTCCTTCAACCAACCCACCAAGATGTGTTTGCTCTGTTTAAGGTCATCTTACAAAAAATTGCTCAGCTGACTGTACTAAACCACCAAAATGCTGCTTTTGCCTATGTCTGCACCTGGCCAGTTACTCTGGCTTCCTCCCCAAATCCTTGCAACCTTCCTATCCATCGAATCTTTATTCCAAGGCAGCCTCTGAAAATTAATCCCTGAACGCAAGCTCCTTCTGTCACAGCCAACCTTCCAAAAGAATTTTCTACTCTGACTAATGGCAGCAAACTTCTAGCAAACAAAATGCAGATTTTGCAGTCAAAATTTGGTTTACAGAAGTTTAGTTTAATTTTTACTTTCCTGGAACTGGAATGCAAATGTCTTGCCCCTCTAAAAAAAAAAAAAAAAAAAAAAAAGAGAGAGAGAGAGAGGATGAACTTATCAGTTTTGTTGAGGATATTGAACCTGACTTCATTTTCATTCAGAAAATGTACCTCAAATCAGTTCTTTGCTACCAATTACATATCTTCAGAAATAATAGAGAGCAGGCATGTAGTTGCAGTAATCTCATCTGTATAAAGAAAAGTATGCTCGTACTATTCAACTAATGCCCATACCATTAGTTTCAAAAGCATCATTGATAAAGTTACTTTAATTCATGATGATAGGAAAATCACAATTACTTCCAACTATAACAACACTGATGAACTTCATATCATCTTTCAGATTGACCCCTACACTGGAATGGACTGGAATGCCAAACATCGAATCTGTGATTATGGCTATTCCAATTCTCACAGTAACTGGCTTTTTAACTTTATTTAGCAATAAGGTTCTCTATCCTGGCTCCAGATCATTGTTCGTGCTAATCTACACTAAGCACTTCAACAATAGACTTGCTAATAATTTTACCTATCCTGGAAACTCTGTCAGTTGTTCCTCTTGTCTACTATACTTTCTGTTACTAACTGGACCAAGTCATAACCATAAGGAATTTAGATAGCTCAGTCAGCTGCAGAATACCATAATTAGACCTTCATGAAAAGCCCTTTGCTTTTCATTCTTTGTCCTGTACTGTGGACACTGCAGACAAAGAATTATTGTTAGTTTGAATGCTATGTTAATGTTGCTTTTTTTTTTTTTTTTTTTTTTTTTTTTTTTTGTTATTCATGTATTTTTGCTTATTAAATTTAAGTAAGGCTGTTTTCATTTTAAGTGCTAATTCAGTTAGTTTTACTATGAATTAAGAATGTTTAATGAATTAATATGAATCAAATTTACTATGAATATGTTAAGTTATCAAATTTGTTTAGTATTTAATACTGAATATAGTGATAGACTTCTGTGTAGAGTTAAAATAAGCTAAGCTTTCAAAATACCTGCACCTAGATGTGTTCTAACTTGAAAATCCAACTACCAGTGAATATATATTGGTATTCGAGTTTCCTAAAAATCCATTAAAATGGGATTTATGGGTTAAAAAAGTTCAAAGGAAAGATTTCATTCCAAGTGATCATTTGCTATTTGATGTCATTTGCTACAGTTATTTGAAAACAAACGAAGGTGCTGTTATTCAGATTTGTAGAAGTCGCCCAAAATTTTAAAATGATTCTTATCCAGGCATTCTTTCTAGCTTTCCAAAATACTGTTAGAAATTTTGTACATAGATAGGTAACCTTCGAGAAATTATAAGTAAAATTTTTGTATTTCTTTTCTGTAATGTAACGAAAAATCTAGAGAGATTAGCTATGCCGGAAAAGTAAAAATAGAGATCAAATTTATTTAGCATTAAATGGGTATCTCGGTAATTTGGCGAAAAATCGCCAAACTCGGCGATTATTTGATGACATTTTGGTCCGGTCCCTGCATCACCGAAGTAGGTATTACAATTGAATAAATGTAATTAATCGCTATATTAACTGTAACCATAATTCGGCCTTCATATTGCCTTCCAGTAATTTCAAGAAGCAGAAAGTACTTGAGATATATCGTGTGAAAACTATATAAGGCCGCAGAGAGCATGTGCAGTCAGTCAGTTGTTGTTAGCTGTTAGCTCAGCGTCAGTTCCAAGTACTGTCTCCGGTTTAGCTTCGCTCTTTAGCTGCGCTTTGCATTGAGTTGAGTTTAATATTCATAATAGTTTGAAGTGTAACTGCTGATTGTACTCGGTGATATTTTAAAGAGTTGTACTTTTTTTTTTTTTTTTTTTTTTTTTTTTTGGGTAAGTTCCAGTTCTCTGAAGCGTTTCTTTTGATTAAAAAAAATTAACTTATCATCGGAGCTGTGTGCATTCAATCTATTACGAACATGTACGCACGCAACATTTTTAGGTGTCAGGAGTGGCGTTGAATGCCAGTGACAAGAGCGATGAAGGAGGAGCTAAGCTGTTGGCAGCCTGTGCTGCGTTCAATGAAGATATGATACCTGGATAAGAATCCGTGAAAGAAGATATGGAATTTGGTCGAGAAAAGATGGAAGCTAGCCAAGAATCCATTTAAGTGAGATAAAAGCTGTTCAAGTAAAGATTGAAACAGGTCAAGAGAAAACGAAAAGAGAAAATATTGCATAATAGAAAACAAATTCGAAGCTACGGAAGGCAGAATAGACACGGTCGAAAACAGAGTCGTATAAATTGAAGAAAGAAATTCTTCTGTCAAGGAACCAATCGAAGAGAGAGTTTCTGCCGTCGCCAAAGAAGTTGAGACCTTAAAAAAATGCATAGCGACAGCAGGAAGCAATTCTGAGGGTTTTAAATTTTTACCCTTTGATACTTTGATACGGAAGTATTTATACAGGGGGTCTACTGCATTTGCAGTACTTCCCTGTAAACCTGATGTAAATCCACGATGGGCATGGTGATGAGACCTGAATAAATCCCATGGAGGGAGCTGTGAGTGAGAGGACAATTTTTACCCACGGCTTCTTGTCCCTCTTTAAAGCTATCCACATATGATGG